TGTAATTTTTGTTTGTACATTTCTGCTGCAAAAATAGATGTTATTTATGTAGTTTTCAAGATCACAAAAGGACTCCCAGATATGATTAGGAACTTGACGTGATTGTAGAAAATTCCGAGTTTCTGACACTTTTTTTGTCATTTCAGAAATGGTTGGAACAGCATTAGTGTCTACAGTAGAATACGTTTCATCTAAATCGTCATCTTTCTCATTATCGCTTAAAGCTGTAGATGAGGTTACGGAGTCTATAATTTGCTCATCGGTCCACATTTCTCTTGTAAGAATGCCATTATCAATGCTCACATATTTGAAGAAATTGAAATCACTCAATTTGGTTTTTACTTGGTCTTCGACGAAATTGTGCACATCGTCATCTGAGTTTGTTGAGCTGTTGTTGAGGGTGGAAGTTCGTTATAAACGGAAAGTGATACAACTAGCCCAAAAAGTGATCGTTATATCCGGAAGTTTGTTATAAACGGGATCGTTATAACCAGTAAAAAAATACGCTGGCTTTTATGGATGACGTTTCAATTAAAGGAGAAAAGTTCATTTTAAGCGAAAGTTCACTATAACCGGGTCTATTATAAGCGGACTTTACTGTATTTTTATTGGGCAATAAGTTGGCCCCTTGTCAAATTATTTCGCAAGGTAAAATAAGCCCATTTGTATGTGTTTTAAATATTTATTTCGGAGCATAGCCGTGATAGACATTTTTGCAAGCACTTTGTATGATAAAACGGCGTGTTTTTCTCGAGTAATTACTCTGTTACTACGGTATTCAAGTAATACCATAGGAGCGAGTACCCGATTTAAAGTGTCCGAAAATTACGCATTATAAATTAACATGCATTATTTAACCACGAACAATGCTAAAATTGATATTGAGTTCAATCTTTTCTGTATTTGGTGCGGCCAATGGATTGCATCACTTCAATCGGAACTTCCTGTGGTTCTTCTTCCAGTCCGCTCGATGATTCGGTTCCAGTGGCTTCAACTTCCGCACTTCCAAAATTGCGATTTAAATCGTAAAATCGAGGGGATTCTGCACAGTCAATGATACTCTCATCCGATCTAGTACATGTAAACAATTCCTAGAAAAATAATGTCTTAAACCTCACGCTTCTTGTCCCTACCGATAACTTTTGCAACTTGTTCAAAATAAATACGTACTTGGTTAAAAACGGTCTCTTCTGGGCAGATGAAACTCCATCTGAACATTTGAGTTCTGCCGTCCTGATATTTCATGGGCAAACAGACGTGGAAAAGCTGACAATCGTTTTCCACATCGGCATAGTAGCCGTAGCTGCGACCTTCGCAGCTAAAAGAGTCGCTGATGTCATTCCGAATGCTGGTTGCATTACTGGGCAATGTGAGCAATTGAGGTGGCCTCAAATTGTCAGGAATAATCTGTAACAATTTTCACTCATTTTCCTCGAGAATACTTTGGTCCGAATGGCGAAGCGCATCCTGATCGAAAGGGTTAACAATAAACTCATTTCAATTTTAAGGATATTAAAAATTTTGAACACTATGGGGAACGTTGATTGCCTCATTAAAATGAATAGAAAGATAAATTCAGGTTTTGACACTATTTTATGTTTGCAGTACATTTTTTCATTTGTTTTTAGTTTTACGTCCAAATGGCAAAGTTAAGAACATAGTGAGAAATGAAAAACCCACCCGCAAACTGGGCGCGCACAAAACCGCACAGAAGAGCACCGGAAATACGTGGAACGAATTCATAGTTACCCGTCAACTTGCGTCGAAACACTACAACTATTGTGTGACTTCTTTGGCCCATGTGGTACTTATATAGAGGACACTGATGGGCAAAAGAAGGAGACAACAGTTTTGATTGCCGCATTGCAAAAGGTAACACAAAATCTGACGGATGGAAAAATATAATTTTTAAATACATTTTGAAACAAATTTGCATAAAATCAAAATCGACTTCTGCAGGCCCTCTCATTGAGTTAACAAGACAAGTCGGATGTGCACTTGTTAGACAAACTGGTCGCATCCTGCATCTTATTGCGATGTGAATTTTGCAGGCCAACAAAGCATTTGTTAAATTATTATTGTATTTGTGAAGTTGTTAAGTTCCATTTGAAATTATGAGATTCCGAACTCTCTGCATTGAAGCCAAAACACAAAACAAAGCAGGTCTGCAAATCGAGCCGCCGCCGCGTTCCACATTCTTCTTAAGTAAACCATGAGGATGATCATCCGTGATCTCTCTCTCTTCCTTATAAATACTTAACACGTCTCACCGCGATTAGGTATATATTATTTGGTAGTGGTCGAGCAACATCTCATATTCGTATTTCGTGTTGTTTCTGGCCGACAGAGTACATTGTATTCCCCGATAATGCAACTGCATATTCTATTTCCGATTGTCGTTTTGACCTTAAGTAATCGAGTAAACTGTGAAACTATTCCAACCAATAGCAGTCAGTTAGAAGGGACAGTTTTGTTACGAAAACAGCGAGATGTGGACTCGTATTTGGGATTGGTTTCGTGTGCCATGAAGTACGATGTGCCTTGCTTTTTGGACAGCGCTCAGAACTACTTGGAAGGACGAAAAAGCGAACTGCTTGGTAAGAATTCATTACATCCAGAAAACTATTGCTTCACAAATAATGCAAATTTTACCGAATGTCTTGTATATAATGAAGTATTAATTAAATCTTGAACATACCTGATTATACTAAGTAAGACACGTATGTGGAGACTAGCTTGATTGCCTAGTTAGAAACAAAATAACCAAATTTATTTAAAGTTTTTTCAAGACCTTTTAAAGTTTTTCATTGTTTTTCTTCTCTACTACTATCTATTTCCACTTCTACATCACGGTCTTTAAGATTCACTAATTTTTCGCTTTTCCCGGAAGTTTCTCATCGCTTTTATCAGTTTTCTGGAGACCGATAAAATAGATTGCGCCAGGTTGACAGCTGAACGTCAGGCTATCAAATATGGTGACACTTGGGAAAATGACAGATTTTGAATTAATTTTCTATTAATTTTGATGACGATGACGTTCAGTTGACAAATTGACGCAATATGATTTATCAGTCTCGTCTTCGAAGTGAAAATGGATGGAATCTCGCTTGAACTTAGAGAGGCGGGCATAATAAAAATAATGAAAAACTTAAAGATCTTTCATTATTTACCCAGGGTAGTTTTCTCACTAGCGAAATGGAGTAAATAATGGTGACTTCTCAGGTGAGTAGTAAAAAATAGTAGCTTTCGATGCAAGGGCGAAAAACGGATTTTCGCCCTTGTATCAACAACATTTTTTATTCGATTGAAAAACATAACACGAATCATAAGTTATAATAAATAAAAATAGCCAAAAATAAAGGCGTCAACTTCATATTTAAAATTTGCTGTCAATGCCATTTTTGAAATTGTCATGTTTTGACATTTGTAATTTTTCAAAAGCGTACTTTTGTAAACATATAAATACAACTTTCACGGTATGGTTCGAATAAGATGCATATTTTGTACGAAATTTGCACTATTTATAAAAATCGTGAGCGCAGAAAAATAGAGCGACTTTGAAACTAAACTTGTAACAAAGTTATAATTTACAAATTGTAAGTAAACTTTAAATTATGAACAATAGTTCTATATAAACCTACGTAATTCATTAAAAAGGCCTGTCTGTTACTTTTTAATGAAAATCCTTTAAAAAATATAATGACACTGATAAAAGGTAAAGAAAAGTGCTTCTTCGCTTCTGATCGAAAAATGGCACTTTTAGATTCATTCGAATAAAAAAGTTTGTTTTATAATTATTGTTTTTATATTATCATTATTCAAATGCTGCAAGTTGACTGGACAAAACTAAATTGTTGCAATAACACTTTCAGACTTTTTGGCATGATTTTTCTCTTTTAAAGCAGCTCAAAACCGACATTTTCAAGCATTTGTTTGATCAATTTTTCTGTATTTAGCACCGGGAATTTTTTTCAATTGTTTGCTAGAATACACAGTATGTAAGTAAGTAGTAAAAATTATAGACTTTTGCACAAATTTTCTATGATTGTTTAAACACTGGCGGATTGCTTGAGAGTTTTAATTCCCCAAATTGGCCACTAAATTCATTTTTTTAATATTCAAAATTCTACACAATTGCGTAGAACGCGGCCGACTTTAAATATAGACATGTTTAGAAGAAACCAGCTTTTTTGGCGAATCAGCAAAGAAATTGAGCCGTTTTCGGACATTCGGGTAAAAACCATAAACGTGCCTGATTAAATCGAAACCCACGAAAAACTTTCTCTTCCGTCAGCTTTCGTTCCTTGTCCCATTCGACAAAACCGCCTTACTTCTTTTCCAATGGGTCACTGGTACAAAACCGACGCTCTACATAAAAACTCCATAAAAAACCGGATTTGCAGGTGTCATTTGACTTGCTTAAATGTTGTGAAAATCGAAGAAAACAATCGAACAGAAATGATAAAAATTCAGATTTTTATTGCAACGGATGACATTAATTAAAAAATGTGTATACAGCCGTTTTCACGAATTTTACCAGTGCCGCAGCAAATCAAGTTATTTTTCCCTTAATCGCTTTCCTACAATTGGTATCTATATTAAGCTTATAGCAAATACCTACATAATACAATTCGGCTTGATTAAAAATATGCAACTAGGTTTATGCTGTGGATTTAACGTCTTTAGTAAACGAAACGTTCCGATTCGTCCAATTAAGTCGTGTTCTGTTATTTTATTCAAATGAGGGCGTATCAATAAAGAACAGTTAGAAATTTGGTAAACAAGAAAATTTGTCCAAATCAAGGTGCTAATAAGGAAAGTTGAAATAATATTCGATCGATATCAGGCGTCTTTGAACTTGAAAAATTCCATGTTTGCTTAATTCAAAAACAGTTTTGATTAACTCGTACTCAGCGATTTGTTGCTACATTTTCTAGAAAATACTGATGCTCTAAGAACCAATGCCTATTATTAAGTCTATTACAGTTAGCGAACCAGTAGAAATATAAAATTTGGTTGAAGAACCAAAGGCCATGACCCACAAATTAAATGCTTGCCGTCCAGACATATCTTTACTTATTATTTTGAGGATTGCTCCGATGTGGCGGGATTCCGTTCAAATTTTAATATGGTCTAACGTCTTCATTTACTGTTTTATTGATGGCACTTCCTGTTGGAAAATGTCCAAAGCCACCCGTCTCGCATGTTAAGTATTTTTAACATTTCAGAGGTGTACAATCGAGTTAGAAGAACTAGAAAAACTGTGGCTAAGAAATCGTTGAGCCGTTTCTGGAGTTGCAATGCTCCAAACAAGCAGTTGTAATAATATTCAACCAGTGACAAATTCTTTATTCAAATCGGGTGCAGTAACGGGTCTATGTTATGTATTACCCAAAAGTGTTGGCTCAAACGGCTCACACATACTAAACACCGCGATCTGATTGGTTCACTTACACGCCAAATGGTTCTTCTACTTTGAAAAATTATAATATCGCATTCAACGAAAAATCAATCCAATTGTCTGAACCGCACTCGGCATTAATACATAATATTAACACACATTCACTTACGGTGTGAATCGCTGAATTTGATGAGAAAAATAACGACCTACATTGATTGATGATTTTACGCCAAATATTCCATACCTACATGTAGACGACATAAAATATTTTTCTGATTTATACTGCTTAAGTTATACTCAATTTGTTGTTAGCAAATACTGATTGACAAAATTCAGTACCGTTTTGCAGCTGAAGCTGATGCAGCAGCAGCCAGATCCCTTGGCCGCTCGGACCCAGACAGCAAGCCCTCACAACTGGCACTCACGCTAAACAAATTGATTTCTGAGTTTAGCGGTTTGTTTAAAGACGGATTTATGAGTTTTTTCAAGGAGAGCAGGGAGGCCGATGACGATGAGAATGAGGAGAACGAGCTGACCACCGCTATGACGAACGGCGGTAAGTGATATTGACCGGGGATGGTGCTAGGAAAATTTGCTTTTTATGTCGCTTCCAATTAGTTGTGTTTGTGTCTAAGTTGTAGTTGTTCTGGGTTATATTCGGTTCCTTTTGCAGCAACGCTGAGGCTGAATATAGCCGGAAACCTTACATGTTTATCACAAGTTCTGATTTATTTTCATGACTGCGTGAAATTGTTGCTATATTCTTATCTTTTCTGGGTCTCCCGTCTCAGTMAAAGTGTGGAGTAMAAATTTGGAATATCGTTTATTTCATTACTACATTGTYTCKSYKAGACAACAGCGCCATCWTMAGRTTKMAAATKWASRCAAASWCMTAAWWGGTAAACRTTAAYGTTTACCWWTTAKGWSTTTGYSTAAATYTTSAAWCCTTRAWKWTGKCKCTSTTAGWCAAATTYRWCRAAACGYWATGAAATAAACGATATTCCAAATTTTTACTCCACACTACTTTGACTAAGATCCAGGAAAGACAAGAATATAATAAATKTATYTCAAGATCAACTACATTTTATCAATCGAATCAGTCACAATTCATTTCCATCATCATTTCTTCATCAACCATTTCTACATATATCCAATAGTTGTATTGGCCAAAAACGATATTTTAATAACATTATGGATCTTGGAAGTATCATAAAGAGGCGCATTTGCATCGTGGCGCATTTGCATCGTGGCGCACAATCGCCAGATTTTCCCTTTTCCAAGACCGTCAGTTCAAACAAAGCGATTAAACTTCCTGACCTATTTACAGAGACCCGCGGCAAAAAGAAACAACAGAAGAAAAAACTAAACTCTTTACTGAAACTATTTGCTGTTGGTTTTGTGCTCTATGCAAAAATATCTCTAGTTCTTAAAATTTTTCACGCCGCTCTTCAATTTAAATTCTATCTTCTCGCTGTGGGTGGCTTGGTGCTTCAGGCGCTCAAACTCTGGGCCAGTGTTAAGAAAGAAGCCCATCCAAGCAAAGTGATCTACTACGAGAACGCTCATCATCAGCATCATTACGCCCCTGGAGAGGACGATGCTCATTCGTTATGGGCCAGCAGGGCATTTGACCGACCTGCGAAAGCCAAAGGTTCGGGTTTTGGGCTTGGTTCCACGTTGACTTAACGAATAGCCCAACCATATTTTTAAGAAAAAAGAACCACCACCAAAAATTACATTTTTATTCAAGTGCATATCAAAAAGTGTGAAGTGTTTGGTTTAAGTTCTGAAAGGTAGGTGTATTCTGTAATAACTAGGCATGTGCATATCTGCATGAAATCATACATTTTCGAACTATTGAAATCACTTTACCAGTTACATGCAATACAGATTACACTCACTCATGCACACGCACAAGAGCGAATTAGTTAATGCATTGTCTCTCTTCGTTCATAATAATATCTAGATAGACATACAAATGTTGAAACGCAATAAACCGATGAATGGTTGGAAAGTTAATTGACGAAAAACCAGGATAAGGCTTTCGTTATTCGTCAACACGTAAAAACCTTGCCAACAATATTACCATTATTACAATTAAACTTTACTAGGAATATGGCCTGGGTAACACTGTGTTGAGTTGCGCTATTAAGTTGTTGCCGCTCTCTGAGTTAACGAGTTATGACTGATCTCACCGGTTAATGAGTTATATTAAAGTCATTTATTAAAGCTATTTCCGAGTTAGGCCCTAGACTGGCATTTTAACATCTCAAACAAAAGGTTATCAATATTTTTTCTGAGTAAACTTTCACTACTTTGTTGAAACAAGTAAAAAAAGTCAACAGAACTGAGTCCAAATAAAGTGGGCGAGTTTTCTTGTCTTGTAAAATCGATCTCTTAATTTTTTTTGCATAAAAGATTGAGTTTATCAGTATTTTACAGTACATAGGAAAAACTCGGTTTTTCGGAAAGTGAAGAAACTCCAGTTTCCAAGAGTTTTCCAAGCATTTTTGCAAAGTGGTTAAGGAGGCGAGTTTGCCAATAAAATGTGTCTTATAATTTTTTACAGTATTTTAACTAAAAAATAATGCAATTTTTGCGTAGAATGAATTACTTAATAGAAACTTTGTTAAAACTAGGATGACCTGAAAGTTTGAAGAAACTTTAAAAATCTTCAGAGCAATGAGGGCGACGAATTTTCCAAATAAGTTTTGTAAACTTTTGCTCTCTTATCGTTTTTTCCAGATAATCTTAACTAGTTTCGGTAAAAAACTGAATAAAATTATTTGGTTTTTGTACCAAATTCGAAGCTAAAAAGGGTTTTCTAAAGTTTCCTGCAAATCGATGAATCAGACAAGGAGAAAAATGAGGAATTTTCTAGCAAAATTAATTTTGTTATTTTTGACTGAAAAGACCCCAAAGGAAATAATGGTTGTTTTGCGTTTTCAATTAAAAACTTTTTGTTTTGTGAGAAAATCTTAATGGTTTTCGGCGAAAAAACGGGAGGAACTTATTTTCGTTTTTCTCTCGAATTCGACGCCGAAAAAAGTTTTTCTAAAATGTTTACAAAGTTTTAAATTTATCTTCTAATTTTTTGCGAAAAAGCCCTTCAGATCGCCAGTATTTTTAAGTAAAACTCTACAAAATCTACCGTTTTTAAGTAGAAAGTAAAGCAAATAAATTCAGTCAAAACTCATAAACCACATTTTTTTAACAAATTCTACAGTCTTCAGAGGGATAGAGGTGACGAGATTTCCAAATAATCTGTTATAAACTTTCGCTTGTTCTGTTCGTTTTTATATAGAAAATTATTGGATTTTTGTTCTAAATTCAGCGCTGGAAAGGAATTTCAAAACTTTTTACAAAACGGCCAAGGATTCGAAATGTACTTCATATTTTTTCACGGAAAACCTTAAGTTTGTCAGCATTTTTAAGTGAAACTTTGGAAAATTGAGCATTTAGAAGAAAAAGTAGCTTGTCTAAAAATTGAAAGTCTGGAAATTTTGAAATAAAAAAAAAAATATTATTAATAAATGGCCCTTGAATAAATCTAAAAACAGATAAAAAAAAGTCATCAACATTTTCCCAGCAACGGAATTGAGTTACTGCCCCGGTGCGTTGGGTTGGCGCACCAAGCCATTTGCGTAGCACTGCGCCAACTCCTAAAAAATCACTGAGTTACCCAGGCCTACTAGAAATAACTATCTATTTAACTAAGTAATAGATTCTATCTTACTAGCAAATTAGTAGTTGCCGATAACTTTTAAGTAATTACGTATCGTCTAGATATATTATATGTAGGTAAGGTACATGACAAATAACATATTCGTAAAAACTGATGTTTTCTGCTTCATCTGAAAGCTGGTGTTGCAATCGATTACGATCTAATGTGTGCGAAATACTTAAATATATCTACATATAGTCTGTACGCTATAACTTTGGTCGCACGTCATCAGTGACGAAATTTAACTACCAACATAAAAACAATTATGCATGAAATTTTCGTGATAAGTCGAATCTTTTTTCTTGTGTTTTGGTCATTGGAGAACCTCAATCAATTGGAAAATATCAAAAAACTTTAGAATGCTACCTAATTTAAAGCGATGCTGATTATTTGTGTTCATCTTTTAACTTTCGTTCTTCTAGTCCATAAGGAATGATCAGCAAAACAGCGAGACAGCATTGAGATAATTTAATACTGATTCGAGTATTTATGTGCATACATGTAATTTATGGCGGGTATGGCAACAACGCCCGACAGACGATGATGACGTGGTTATGGCGTACAGACTATGTTTTCTTCCACTCCATTCAAAAACTTATACATAGATACTATATATACAATTCATATAGATTATTGAGCTATGACTAATGGCATGTGCATTAACAAATACTAATTTTTCACCCAACCCTACACTAACGATTTAGAATTAACATGCATGATATAACCCTGCACAATTGTTGCAATTGGGATAGATGTAGGTGGTAAATACTATCAACGTTGATAAATCATGTGAACAGGATGAGCACAAGAACAGTATCGATACAGGCTGTTATCATCCTGTACTGACCAAAAGATTAGGAATGATTTCTCTTTTCTGTATGAGACTTTTCACCGCAGTTTCCCGTTCGATTAGTTTCTTACTGAATTTAATTTTCAAAATGGCCAAAGCAGCTGAATTTGATTCTACCTGCCCTTTAAGGGAACAAATTATCTCTGTTGGCAGCTCGAAATCTATTAGTTCGAACATCAAAAAGCTCTGTAATCCGCTTCCACACACAGTGACAAATGGCTCAATTTCCAGAACAGCGAGAAATCAACAATTCCAAAAAGAAGAAGATGAAGAAGCCGCTGAAAAGCTTAATTAGACTGATCAAAGTAGTCCTAGTTGCGTTAATTGTAGTCCTAAAACTAGCAGTTCTTCTGAAAGTGCTGCAAACGGCCATGCAGTTCAAGTTTCTGCTGATCTCGCTAGGAGGATTTGCAATACAGGCCGCCAAATTCTGGATGTCTATTCGCAACCAAAAAGAGCACGGGCACGACGAAATCGTATACAAAAATCCGTATACAAGCGGTACTGAAGAGTACTCCAGTCCGGGTGGAGCGCCGTACGGGGCAGAATATAATGCCAGGAGGAGGAGGAGAAGAGTTGCAAACCCTTTGGCCTACTCGATGCAGGCACCCAAGTCAACCAAACACCGGTATTAACACGCGTATTCAACGAATTTCCCGAATTGGAACGGAACTTTCCACCCGTAAAGTGTGTCCAGATGTAGATAACGATTTACTTATAATTTGTTTGATGCAATATAATTCTTATTGAAAGTGTTGTCAATTACTTATTCGTTTGAAACGCATTACAGCCGCTTAGYGAACTCGACTTTATARCCRGTCATCCATGCAAATGGGCATACAGGGTGGTTTTTTAGTGCRAGAGAGTCCGTTGGTGTTGAACTTTCGARAAGSACATCAAATTTGGGCACTTATTTATTKAATTCCGTCGCCTGCTTACAAAAGGTAACAACTTKTTGGAATTTTTAAATAAAATAAACTATAATTTGAAAACGGTTGATTTCACAGCTGAAAGGGTAAATGCACATTTGTAACTTCGTAAATTGTCTATCTAATGACGTATTAATATACAGGTACTTCCATTTGAAAAACAAAAGTTATATTGCGTTAAAAAGTTTTAGATTGAAGTCCACATTGTTAACACCCTGTACAGTGTATTAATATGTTGGTTCAATATAATTCTTAACGGATCTGTGGTGATTGGAAAGACGTATTTTTTTGTATCTTTAACTGCTTTTTTTGCTTCTACAATGAATTTTTAGATACCTTGTTTTTAAGCAAAATTTTACTAAAATGGCGATAATCTGTCAACGTCGCAAGTAAGAAAAATAGTAGTTTTCGATACAAGGGCGAAAAGTATCGACTTCGTCTCGGGTGTCAAACGCCGTCGTTCGGAAAACGGATTTTCGCCCTCGTATCAACAACATTTTTTATTCGATTGAAAAACATAACACGAATAATAAGTTATAATAAATAAAAATAGCCAAAAATAAAAGCMGTCRACTTCATATTTGAAATTYGATGTCAAKGCCRTTTTTGAAATTGTCATGTTTTGACGTTTGTAATTTTTCAAAAGCKTRCTTTTGTAAGCATATACAAGTGAAACACAAGTGAGTGTTGAAAATTYAAGTGCTTCTTTCACCGTATGCTGTTTGTATAAGATGCATATTTTRCATAAAATTTGCGCTWTTTAAAACAATCRTCTTTTGCTTGTCGCAACATCGRCGAGTGCAAAAAATGGATTSMATTTGAACKACTTTGAGACTGAACTTGTARCAAAGTTATAATTTACAAATTGTATTTAARTAAACTTTAAATTATGATCAATAGTTCTCTATAAACCTACGTAATTAMTTAAAAAGCCTGACRGTTACTTTTTAATRAAACTACTTTATGACAGTGACACGTTCAATTTGTGACATTTACTTTTGCGCACATGTSCGTGAAAGTGCGTGCGTGAAACTAAGACAAAAGAACAGTAAAAAAATGGTGTGCGTCACGGGACGTTCGACAGAAGTGATAACTTCATATATTTATAGAAACCATAAAATATTGAACTTGTTTAACGCATGATGGCAATAATTATATTTTTTTATAATTTTAATCTTCTTGTTAGTCTAATGATTTATAAATGGATCAGGAATAGGTATAATGTAATTTAATTTCCTTTTGAATGTAAAATATCTTTTTTATTTGCAACATTTAACATTCTCTAACGAGATGTTGTACATATTGCTCTTCGTGGGTTTGTGTAAACTCTTCTTTTTGAGTTTCCGTATTTTTTAGTCGTAATTTCTTATTTGCTTTGTATAATCTTTGACGTTCAGCACTAGTTCGTGGTTGATGAAAGCTACTTTGAGTTGATCTATTACTTAATGCTAATTTTTTAGCACGAAATCGTTTTTGGCGTTCAGCATTAAAATATTTTTTGCATTGTATCATGTTTTTATGACTGCCCTTGTGTATGTTGTTCACCAACGTCTGCTACAACTTGTATCTGAATGGGACTAAAAAATCAATTAATTTTGGTGATTGGAAGACGTTCTATCTCTTTAAAACAGACGATAAAACGAGGAAGAGCTATAGAGACAGGATACACTTGACACACTATATGTATCCATAATGTAAGCCGTCGCGCATGTTAAAAGAAAATTCTGACTGAACTAATCCAAGGCTGAAAAAATTTAACTAAATTGAGAAGATTTAATCATAAAGGAATCAAAGGGTATATGAACGGAAAAAATCAATTTTTATGTGTGGTAAACACAATTAATGATAGAAATAATATAGACAATTGAAAATAAGCCCTAATAAATTAGTTTTACATATTTTGCAACTATAAGCTGAAGGGAGATTCGTATCGTCTTAACATCAAGAATGCGTTGCGTAATAGAAAATAAGAAGACGGAACCCATGTTTTCTGAAATAACCGAGGTAAACTAAAATATTTTTTCA